GTCTGTCTGTCTGTCTGTCTGTCTGTGTAGCTAATGGTTTACAGGACAGGCACATCATGGACACATCCATGCAAGGTGGAAACACCGTCTGCAAATATCCAACTCTGCCATTCGCACCAAAACTCTGGAAAGGCCCCGTTTTTTCGTCCATTGGCTGCCAACTAACCGACAATGACCAACCGACTGTAACCACAGGTAGGGCGTTTGTTTGCAACTCTGGATTCATCAGGTATGTCTCAGCCAGCAGCAATTCAAGTCAGCATACACACGAAAGCCGCCAAGCATCAACCCTTAAACCCAGGATAAGTCCTAGATCCCTAAAACCTTACAGTTTTGGCCTTCACTTGCTACAGTACCGTACTTAATGCTGCAGTAGAAAGGGTGGTGCGGGTATAGATGGCTTGTATAATGTAGTATTTGGGACATATCAGGGGATCTGCATCCACCGATTGGTGCTTTCCTGAAGTCGTGGTATAATGCATCTGCAGGACGCCCCTGCATGTCGACATGCCCAAACATTGCGTGTAGCTCTCCTAGCTAGATTGATGCTCAGTACTAGTATTTTCTCTAGCCAGATGCATGACGGCAGGGTTACCTGCATGCATGTGTATGTACCTAGACAGCAATCTGTACTATTATGGTGGAAGGGCCCCCTATAGCTGTGGCTAGTTTTCTCACGTAGCTATAGGTCGGGGAGGCCAGGCACATCATGCTCAGGCGTACCAAGCCCAGGCAAGCGGGAGAGGATGTTAATAAACTGCCTCACTCGCGACCGGCACCACAATAATGGCCATTGATGTCCACTCCCATGAGGCCCCCGGCTTTTACAGACGGCCCCACACTTGCGTGGAGCTTGTAGAATGTAACCTGGTGATCTCAACATCGGCAGATAAGCCATCTCTTAAAGGACAAAGATTTGTGATCACAAGGTTGCAGGTTCAAATCTGGCATGGAGCAAAAATGGTCCTGCAAATGCAACTGACATTAGCCAGCTTTCTATCTGGCCATGTATCATGGTAAACTGTCCAAAAAACTTGAAAAGTGGGGCGGATGACTTCTAATAGGGTGCTGGAATGTGAGTTGGTCGAACAAACATCGAAACCGTGTTCCAGTACTGGTGGATGATGTCGGTAGTTAGGCAACACGGATATAGGGGCTGCCGGTGCATATACAGATTAAAATAACTGTTGACTACTAGCGACTCTCAACCCTTTCATCGCTGATGCACACCGTAATTCACACATATTATGCATGCAGGTTACGATTATTATTAGCAAAGAGTTGCGGATTCTTTACAG